TAAGCAAGTACCCGTTTAGCAAGTATAGTGAAACAGTATCACAAGAGCATTATAAAGGGAGAAAATTAATTTACAGTTACATTCTGGAGTTCTGAATGGGGGATAGCACACTATATAAACCATTCATATACCCATATCAGATATATAAAAAAACAAAACATTATCTTAATTAAACCTGCATATGCAGTAAAAAAAAAAAAAGTTTTTTTTTTGTTCATAGATTACTAATGTAGATTCCCTATAGTTGTATAATAGCAACAGCCATCGTGGCTTGGCATCTGTGATGCTGGCAGAGCATCAAGGTAGTTGACGTAGCACAAAAGCTGGACAGAAATTGCTAAAAGTACAGATTCCACGCTAGCATTTGTTTAAAAACTCACAATGGCTGATTGGCGGTTTTCTTAGGCTGTGGCAGAATTGCAACTATTAACACAGGCGTATCTTATTTTGCCTCCAATTTGAAAGCATTTCACCTGAAAATCAATTATTCTAGTCTAGAGCTGTCAAGTTATGCTAGTTTTTCACCGCGAGTCCGTCTTGTAAATAACATGGATCTTTCAGAAGATACACATGAAAAATACATTTATGCTTACAATGCTTTGCACACACACAAGAAAATTGACCTGTTTGTCGCTGAGTGTTCTTGTACACATTATATGTTATTTTTTTCAGGACAGAAATAGAAATGTCTTTTTTTTGTGATACCATATATGTATAAAATTTTTTAAAAATAATAACATTTTGTATGAATAAACAAGTTTTTAAAAATGAGAAAAGAAATAGAAAAAAATATATATTTTTACTGTTTTGGTTATAATCATTTAAAAGAAAAACCAAACTAATACAACTAAAGAAAAAAGAAATAAAAATAGATTTACTTATTTGCCCTGATTGTTCAAATGCCTTATGTCTGAGATTTAAAAAACCTATTTATTTATTTATTTATTAAGTATAGGACAAAATATTTCAAGGAGTGAATTAAGGTAAAATATTATCATTTGCATAATAATTTGGAACAGGGTGTAGAAAGATACTATTAAATTACATGGAGGGACTATAAAATAAATAATGGGGGTTGGCTAGATCACTGTCCATTCCCTGCCCCCACTACGGCCAAACGTTGGGGGGTATTTAATAAAAAAGTGGGGACATTCTCTTACCCATGGTTGCTCCTAACCAATTGTACATGGATGGGCATATTGTAAGATTTAGGGAGAGAGAAGGCTTGTTTTAAAACCCCCATCCAAAGCCCACAGGTGAGGGATGAATAGCATACCCCCTTTGTTTTAATGCACCACATCCAACCAGTAGGGTGTCCCCTCAGTTACCATATGAGTACTCCCAACCGACCACCTATGGGTGGATCAGGGGGATTTTAACAAGTCTTTGGTCTCAATTTAGCTTTTTGTTTGGTCAGTGCTAGGTAAATATTTCCCAGATCATGTGTCCAATAAGGACTGCAGATTTGTATTTTTGTTCGGACTCCAAGTACAGTAATACTCCACGTGTAAACATTAATTAGACTTGAAGTTGTAATATCAAATTAAAGACGGGCCAATTTTGTTTTTCACATTTTCAATTCTGACCTATTTACTGGGTTCTTGTGCAGGATACAATAGCAGTCCTGACTGCTCTTTAACCTTGATCACAATGTACAGTCTACAAAAGCTTTAAGTGGTCTTGGAACAGTGTGACTGTCCCCGTTATCCTCGAAATGTAAAACATTGCAGTTTTAGAGAACCTGGGGCCGGTCGACTCTGTGAAACGACTCTGCACATCCTCACGTTTTGCATCATGACATCTAGCGTCTTCTAAATCCCCATAAGAAAGCATTGAGTCAATGCTTTCCTAGGGGAAATTCCTAATGCATATGTGGCAATCATTGAGGGACATCAGCTCTGGAATCAGGTAAGTTACTGAAAGGATTTTTTAACCCTTTCATTGATGAGGGAGGACTGGTGGGGGCACGCAGGCAGAGGGACACTTTAGGGTTAGGAATACATATTAATGCTATAATAATTAGGGGATGGACACGCCTGTTGCAGTGGGACTACAAATAGTATTGTTGGGGAGAAACATGTTTATTGTACATCTTCTTGCCTACAGTCACCTTTTGTCCCAGCTGGCATTACTAAGGAAAAATGACCCTACCATCCCTTTTTGTCTCTGTACCAATGTTAACATAATGGGGTTTCTATAACTTTTAAGGTTAACCATATGGTATACCCTTAGTTGTAGTGGAATTAAAACTCTCAGGTCTTTTTTCCCAGTAATGCCAGGCAGACATGGCATCCCCTAGCTGTACTGGGGGAAATATTTTATTAATATAAAAGTCTGGCTACAAAATTAATCAAAGGAATGGAAGATTTTAGTTATGAAGGTTAAAAAATTTAAATATGTTTAGTTTAGCAAAACCGAACCTCAGAGGTGATATAATAGCATTATACAAACATATTTGGGGGGAATACAAACTATTGCCTGAAAATCTAATCATAAACAGGACTAAACATAAGACACAAGGTCTTGAATTTAGACTGGAAAAAATGAGATTTAGTCTAAGGCAAAGGAAAGGTTTTTTTACAGTAAGAATAGAACGGATGTGGAATTCTATGACCAAAGAGTCTATACAGTTGTTTAACCCCTTAAGGACCAAACTTCTTGAATAAAAGTGAATCATGACATGTCACACATGTCATGTGTCCATAAGGGGTTAAACAGCAACTTGATGAATACTTGCAAAAACATAATATTCAGAGATATAATTTTTAATATGTGGAGTAACAGCTTTTTAATTCAAGGAGAGATATGACTGCCATTGTGGGGTCAAGAAGGATTTTTTTTCTAGTCTGTTGCGAAATTGTTAAGGACTTCAAATTTATTTATTTTTTGCCTTCTTTCTATCAACAGAAAAAAAAGACATGAGAAAGGAGGAACATGATGGACGTATGTCTCTTTCAGCCTATTTAACTATATGAAGGTGACTGGAGGCACAGGGGGCAAATGCCATGTCCCCTATCCATGTATAGCTTGTACCCTCACTTGATGTATGTGAGTGTGGGGGGATATAGGCATGAGTTCACACACCCTTTAATATATTAGAACCACCACCAGAGCCCATGATTGGAGAAATAAGAGAACTGGCATGTTCCCCCACAATTATTATTTAGCCTCCACACACCAACCAATAGCAGACCCCATTAGTTTTACAGGCCTCATCCCATATAGGATGGAGCCTTTAGAGATTGAGCAATTGTAGCTGTCCCTCTAAATGTTTGCCAGTAGGAGTGTGTTAGGGGACCAGAGAGACATGCCATTCCTTATTCTCATTATATTAATGCCCCAATGCATTGCCCAGGGGATATGATAGTAATAGTTGAGCAGGTACTGGCTGTTCACCATTTAATAGATATTTCCCCACTCCAGCATTTTGGGTGGGGATTAAGGAATGATTTTATCCTTGTGAGATTAATACCTGGGTCATATTGACCACCATGTGCTTTTTTAAAATTATTTTTTGAGCAGTAAAATCTGACCGTCCACCCCTTAACCTAGCTAGTGCTGTCAGTGACTCAAATACAACATATTTTTAAAATTTGGATCTTAATTTTAACAATCTGGTCCTGGACTTCCAGCATCTGCATCCAGATTTCTGCTATTTGGTTGCATCTGAACGGGCTGAAATACAGTTTAGGTCCCTTCAGATGCTGCTTTGCAAATCAGTTAACTGATAAATAATGTCTAGAGATTGTATACTCCAATTGCAGCTGGTTCGATCTAGATTATTTTTCCAATTCAGACCAAGGTTTCTTGAACAAGTGAATAAACTCCTTAGCTTTATACAACACGCACAGAAAGGGAACACCACAAACACAAATGTTTTTTTTAAATATTACAAGGCTACTTTAAATCTCCTATTTTTAGCAAAAAAAGAAGCCATGCTATATCATCGACGTCGTGGTAGGCCTGTAATAAAAGAGGGCCCACCCATGAGGTGTAATGAAAGTATAGATAGAGGGCGTGGAGGGTGGGGACATGTCACGTATTCATCCGCTTATAGAAATGTGGTTAATGACATTTACTGTCCACACAGGAAAAGTTGTGCAGAGCAGGAACCTAATCCACAGAAGGTTTAATGCTGAGCAGTAATTGTGCAAATGAAACCTGGTCTCATGTATTCATCCACTTATAGAAAAGTGGTTAATGACATTTACTGTCCACACAGGAAAAGTTGTGCCGAGCAGCAACCTAATCCACAGAAGGGTTAATGCTGAGCAGCAATTATGCAAATGAAACCTGGTAACTGACTTTGGGGTCAAAGGCCGGTTACAGCCTATCAGAAAGAAAGGAGGGGTATTTAGGCCCAGTTCTCAGCCTGCTCAGTGCCCTGTCGTGGTTTCCCTTGTGGTTGTCCGAGAGCGCGTTCCTGTTTATAGTTTTCTACCTGGTTTTTGACTTTGGCTTTGTTTATTGACTTCTCTATATTCTGGTATCCTGACTCCTGGCTTTCCTCATCGCTGTGTCCCTTTCTGTGTTCCCTGACCTCGGCTAGTATTTTTGACTATTCTTTGTACGTTAAATCCGGCCATTCTAAGGACCGGTAATACGTTACTTATTTGTCATCCGTGCTGTACAGTTCTACGTGCTGGATCAAACAGTAATCCTGACAGGACATGCGTGTCGCTAAAAAACGTACGGGACGGAGGAAGGTGAGTAGGGGGGGTTAAATAGGTACCATGCCCCTCCCACAACTGCAGGCCAAGCCTTAACATTTGTGGGAGGGGCAAATAAGGCCGTATAGGAAGTAGGAGGGAAATAAGTCGGTTGAGGTGTGCCGGAACCGACGTCGTGGTAGGCCTGTAATAAAAGAGGGCAAAAATTGGGTACCTGTCAGAAACGAGAACAATCAACAAAACCTAATTGCCTAGCTGTATGATAAACGCCAAGCAAGGAAATAGTTGCCCAGCACTTTAGCCGGCGCTCGTAATTGTGCAAGGCCCCCTAGGGCAGACTAAATGTGGGGTAGAGAAGGTAATAAGTAGGCTGCATGAATAGGTGAGACTTCCTAAAATAATGCTGCAAGAAGGACGTGGTGGCTGTAGGAAAGAATGTGAGACCCAAAAAACTGTGGAAGCAAGAATAGTGGCTCAAACAACTGGATTATAAAATTAAAATGGCCAGTGCCCATCAAGTACAGCCTTCCTCACATTTGTGTTAAACGGTTGATCCAAAAGAAGGCAAAAAACCCAGATTGAAGCGCTGCCAATTTACAACAAGCTGGGAAAAAATTCCTTCTTGACCCCATAATGGCAGTCAGTTTCCCTTGGATCAAGCAGTTACTGCCCTACATTGAAAGTTGATGCCCGGTTCGTAGTGACAGGCATTTAATAAGTCTGATAGTGAATGCGATACTTGGATGATGATGCGAAATCTGTAAATTTGAAATTCCCCGGAACCTGAAAATGCCTTGCGTATGCTAATAGTCTGGAAAGAGGACATGAAACTGCGTATGAATGGTAAATCTGTACAACATGTGGAGTTGTGAAACCGGATAGGTGGAGTTAATGCAAGTTAGAGGTCGCAAAAAAACAGCAAAAACAAAAACAGACAACAGAGCTACAGAAACAGTATCGGTACACGTGAATAAGGAGCCCCAAAGGGGAATAAGGCCCGAACACACGAAACCGCGAGCACTGAAGAAAAAAAAAAAAGAGAGACAGACGAGCTAACCAGGCTGGCAGCCCATGGTTGGGCCCCCGAAAGGTGCTGGGAGCCTGGGTCAGAACCAGCCAAAGTGGCAGATGCCAGTTACCCCAAACTGACAACCGACGCCGCCCCATAGGTGACAGCAGCGAAGACAACCGGAAGGCGAAATGGAGAAGTAAGGTAGGAGAAGCCGAAGCACCACAGCGTGAAGGATACCAGACCAAGCCAGAGAGCCCAGGCGGACAATACTGTGCCAACTCCTAGCAGCGGAGACCTGCTAGAAAAAGAGACGAACAGGCAGCGCAGAAGCGACCCAAAGTATGTGTGTGTGTGTGTGTGGGTATGTGTATGTGTGCTGGCATACTAGCTAATACCAAAAAGGCGAAGCAATTAAAACTAGGTTTAGTGACAGGTGAGGCCCTGCTAGATGCCAAGCGGCGTGAGAGGCTCTATCTATGAGTTGGCGCGAGGGGATAAAGTGGCCACTGAACGTTGTGGCGGGGTGTTGGCCTCTCGGTGACAGGTAACATAAGACAGAACGGGAGTGACAGATGAGGCCCTCCCTATGCCACAATGCGAGGCAATTAACTATGATTTGGCCCGAGGGGCGTAGTACCTCCGAGTATGAGGATGGTGTTGGCCTCGCGGGACCACTAACCTAAGGCGAAGAAGCCAGGGGGAAATTACCACTATTGGACACCTAGTACCCTGACAGCCAGCCACAGCTAACTAAGATGGGAGGGAAGGTAGTAGTGTGAGAGAGGACGGACGTGCTGAACGTGTAGCGAAAATGTGAGGGTGAGCGAGGAAATACCACCGGGTCAACCAGAAGCGAAAGGAGAGTAAGCACGTCAGAGTCCAGGCGGACAGGCTGAAAAGAGCGAGCTTGGCAGAAGCCAACAGAAACCGTGGTGGTGTAAACCACACGGGGGTCACGAGACCCAGTGCGAGCGTGTATGTGTGTGATTGTGTGCGGGAGTGCTGGCATACTAGCTAAGCCAAAAAGGCGAAACAATTAAAAAACTAGGTTTGGTGACAGGTGAGGCCCTGCTAGATGCCAAGCGGCGTGAGAGGCTCTATCTATGCGTTGGCGCAAGGGGATATCGTGGCCACTGAAACGTTGTGGCGGGGTGGCGGCCTCTCGGTGACAGGTAAACATAAGATAGAATGGGAGTGACAGGTGAGGCCCTCCCTATGCCACAATGCGAGGCGACTAACTATGATTTGGCCCGAGGGGCGTAGTACCTCCAAGTATGAGGATGGGTGATGGCCTCGCGGGACCACTAACCTAAGGCGAAGAAGCCAGGGGGAGATTATCACTATTGGACACCTAGTACCCTGACAGCCAGCAACAGCAACCTAAGAGGGGAGGGTAATGAATGAGGGAGGGGACGTAATGTGTGAAAGAAAGGAGAGAGAGGGCAGGGTACGAGGAAGAAAACATAGGGCCAACCATAGCTGGAGGGCAGAGTGAGTCATCGGAATCCAGGTGGCCAGGCCGTATAGAGTATACAAGGAAAAAAGGGACAGAAAAACGCATGCATGTGTATAGCCCACGGGGCTCATAAGGGCCAGAACGCGTGCCCGGTAACAAAAAACATAACGCTCCTTCAGGAAAATAACGCAACACCGGTATGGCGGGCCGACGCGGCCCAGCCAAGCAGAGAAACCAAACCCGAAGTTAAACCCGGTTCAGATGTCTATTAGGGGAACTCTACAAGCCAAATTGTTATTTCTGGGATCTATAAAAAATAAAATAAAAAATATATAATTTCTTACATTTGTTTATTGCTACATGTTAAAGTATCTGGTCATGGAGTTATCCTCTGATGGTAGAATACTAGTGGTTACTGTAACTATTGCCTTGTCATCAAGTTGTGGAAAGGTATTAAAACCGTTTTAGGTACATAGGTATTGATCTTATATTACCAGCAACAATAATTGTCTTTCCGTCTGCTAATTTTAATAAAAATTGGGAAAACATGATGCCAGCTAAAATTAATCGATAAATTGAACAGCTACTTGAGAAAGATCCCCTGAAAAATGTACTTAGGAGGCACATATATCATCTTTTTTAATGATGTGCATGTTAGTCTTTCAGAAATAAAGAAAAGCCTAGGGGGTTCACAAGTGGGGGCATATTTGATAACCAGCAAGCAGTGGGGCTGGCAGGGAGTCTCTTCGTTACACGCGGCTGCTGACACGTGACAAGTGTATAAACTTCAAAGACAGCTTCTAGCTGTAGCAGAATAACATAATTGAGCTAAATTAATATTTGCTGGAGGTTAAACACTATTATTTTTTTTATTTTTTATTTTTTATCCCTCATATTCTGAAATAAAGTCTGAATTGAGGGAGACAGTGTAGTTGTGTAGGGAGGCATTGCAGTGACAAATGCTTAAGGGAGTGCAGGACAATGGCGGAGAACAAGCAATATTTCCTTATTTTTATAAAGGGGGAAAACAAACGAAAAATGTACCGGAGATGGTATGCGGGGCAGCCACATGGGCGCATGTTCGGTAGTGAGTGAAGTTGGGCATGTGTGATAGCGGTGTAGGCAGCGAGGGGGTTAACAGCAAAGGGGGTAGAAAGAGACGTGCAGCGTCGTAGCCGGGCTGACTCCACAAGAGCCAGGGCTGAAGGGGGCGACGCAGAGGACGAGAAGCAGAGCTACTACCCATACCCCGCCTGCAGTGAAGCAAGTCCGCGGACCGAAAGAACATGAAACAGAGAGCAGCACTCACCGAACCATGCCACTGCCCGACACGCAAACACGTTACCCACAATGGACTGGTAAGCTGGACTTGCTGCCAATACCCATGCTTAAAAGGAGTATGTAGCGAGACAGCTACAGGCAACCGGAGGGAGGAGAGGGAATATCCCCTGCTACAGGATCCAGCCCCGTCCAGAAACACCCGGGGGAAAAAACACAGGAGACTCACAGCGCATACGCTCAAATGACCGTGGACGGAACGAAACCGGCGGGGGAAAAACGGCAGGCCAGGTAAGGAGAACCACGAGGGAGCGGGTTGCGACCGGAACCAGCGACATGCGTGTCGCTAAAAAATGTACGGGACGGAGGAAGGTGAGTAGGGGGGGTTAAATAGGTACCATGCCCCTCCCACAACTGCAGGCCAAGCCTTAACATATATATATATATATATATATATTTTAATAACTCAATACCTTCATTTTTCACTGTACCTTTCCTTTTGCCATTTTACGCACAAAAAGCACTCTAACATTAGTAGACTATATCACACATTGTGTTTAAGCTTAAAACTGCTTACAAAGTTCAACAGCACTGGTGAGTCCTACACTAAATTTAACATGGGAGATAAAACATCCAAGCTGAAAAATTTACGGCTTAAACAGCTTCAAGCATTTCTCCTCAGATTTATGCTTACCTGCTCATATTGCTGTTCCATGACATTAGTGTCATTGATCCTCATCCATTAAATGAGATCAGTGACTTCCTGAGAAATTACACCATCAAAGAAAACATTGATCACCTATAGCTTATGCTAACCTTTTTTCATGTACTGCTCTATTTTTTGTAGTATTATTAAAGATTTAGTAACTGGTATCACAATTTAGTTCAGAACAGGCACAGTCAGGAAACACAATGCAAATTAAGAGAATAGAAATATTGTTTAATTCTTCTTTTCTTTGTATGCATTCTTCATGCTGGCTTCACATACCTCCCAAGTGTCCCCACTTAGGAGGTGCAGTCCCAAATCCCTCAGTCCTTCTTTTCTAGGAGCCCCTTATTCATGGTGTATCTGAGTGAATAACATAAATCCAAAGCAATAAAACTCACTGTCCTCAAACTACAATAAATGTGTTTAGAAATCAGTCTGTGTAAATAAGAAACATATGATAGCAGTATACAAATATATTCGGGCCAATACAAATCATTGTCTAGAAATCTATTTATAAACAGAACTATACATAGCAGACGAGGTCACGCATTTAGACTGGAAGAAAGGAGATTTAGTCTAAGGCAAAGGAAAGGATTTTTTACAGTAAGAACAAAAAGGATATGGAATTCTCTACCTGAAGAGGTGATTTTTATCAGAATCTATACAGATGTTTAAACAGAAATTTGACAAACACTTGTAAAAACATAATATTCAGATATATAATTTTTAATTAGTAGGGTAATAGCTTCATGATCCAAGTAGATATCTGACTGCTATTCTGGGGTCAAGAAAGAATGTTTTTCTAGTTTGTTGCCTTTTTTTGGGATCAGCAGCAAAAACAGATGTGAGAATGGCTGAACTTGATGGACTCATATCTCTTTTTAGCTGTGTAACTGTATATTCTTGTTCTAAATTACATTTGTGCTGCAAAAAGTTTTATTAGTAAGTAAAATCTCAGAACAACCCGGCCCTGGTTTTACCTCCTCTCGCACCCTTAAATTTAAAGTGTCCATCTTTGTCCATTTGAAATGTTGGGAGGTATGCTTTAAGGTGCAAAGGACAGGATTTAGAATAATGCCCGACAGGGGGACCAGATGATGGAGGATAAAGATGCGAGGACTACTGCATTGATTTTAATTTTAACTAAATATGATTTTTTACACTTCAATCAAGAAAAAGTTTCTTCATCATTAATTTTACAGTGATATCGTGACCCCGACACATGTCTGTCTGTTAGCAGGCTGTGTAGAAATGAGATTAAGTAAAAATGTGTAGAAATGCGTTTTTCCCATTTTTATATATTTTATTCATCTATAAGTTATGTGTTTGCATCTATGTTATGGTTTTTGTTAGGACATGCTTTCCAGATCAAATATTAGATGGAAATGTTTGCCATATGTATACCACAAAGACAAAAAAAAGAAGGCTATTGTAGAGACACTGGGTTTTGCGGATAAAATTGGTGGTGTAGTATAGACCTCTGATTCATTTGTTCTCCTCTGATTTGGAGATTGAAAGGCCATCCAAATCATTTGGAATATCAAGTTCTATAATTAAAAAAAAAAAAAGTCACTGTCTCTGTCCAGCACGTCTCTCGTGATATGCCAACTAGTGAAACAGAGAGAAAATGATTTCTAGTCTAGCCATGACATTCAGTATCACAGGACAGTCACAGTTTGATAGCAAGATGAATATAATCCCATTTTTCAAGGATTCAGAAACCATTTGGTATATAGTAGATGTGATAGATAATTGTGTCCCTTGTCACCAATATGAAGGTACAGCTTGTTCCTTGTGGTGTAAAATCATGATAGACACTCTTTGGTGAACTTTCCAGAAAGTAATTTCATGAGTGACCTGTAGGTGTCCCTAGTAGCATAACCTGGCTAAACTTTAGAAAGCCACGCACCCATGTAGTTAAAGTGAACTAGCTCAAATGATTTTAACAATTCCGCTAAGTAAGAATTCAAAGTTTCTCCTTGAATCCCACATTTTAGAAAAAAATCTATAACTCGTCATCAGCTCCCTTTTTTTGTGATGAGGATATGGGCTATGAGAAATAAGGTATTTTTTGTAGCACAGAGGAGGTTCAGAAAGATGCAGCAGAGGGT